GTTACTGTAAGCTTTTTTTTCAATGAAAGCTGCTTGTTCTTTCTGGCCAAGGTCACTTCTAGTCTCTAAATGAAACGATATAAATAGTCTCAGGTATAAGCAGCTCATTCGCTGCCTGTGGAGGCTTGTGCTGCATTGAGAGCTGTAGACAAGCCTACCTGATCTTTTCTCAGCCAACTCTTGTTCAGCAGAGCTCTAAAACTAGTTGTTTGAAGCATTGGAGAATTTGGGGATTTTGGTTTCCAGTTAAAATTAACACTTCAACTACATTTAACTTGTTAACACCATTACAGAGAGCTAAATTCCGAGCGATCCTGGTTTGGCGGTGAGGCAGTTATGGCTTGTGTCAATGTTCTATCTGATAAATGCCAGTGTGATTCTGGGAAGAGACAGAATGCAATCTTGTACACCATCCTGAGCCAACGTGGAGACTGCAAGTTCTCACATCACAACTGCTTCTGTGAAGTCAGGCAGACGGTTTGCTTGAAGACTCCCCATGTTACCTGTCAGGCGGTATCCGATGTGTTGGCAAAGACAGTCGCTTTTATGAGGAACCTCCCGTCATTCCATCATCTTCCCAGATCAGACCAGCTGCTGCTGCTGGAGAGCTGCTGGCTCTCCTTGTTTCTGTTAGGACTGGCTCAAGACAGAGTGAGCTTTGAGGTGATAGAGACCCCAGGTCACAGCATGCTGAAGAGAATCTTGCTGAATGGACCAAACCTGCTCAGGACAAAGGAAGAAGGGAGTTGGCAGCCAACGCTGGCTGGTGTACACAGAATAAAAATGTGTCTGAACAAATTCCAGGGCCTGGATCTTAGTCCTAAGGAGTATGCGTACCTGAAAGGAGCTATCCTTTTCAACCCTGGTAATTATGACAGCCTCTGTCTTTATTCCAGTATGTGTAATGAACCAAAGAAATTGTAATGCTGTAGTGTTTTATAAAAAAAGTCACAAATTTGCCCCCACCCCCTTGAGTCCAGCAATAATTCTACCACATCGTAGTAAGGGGTTAGGACCAGACAAGGGTCAGGAATCAGGGGATCTCTGTACTTCCTGGATAAATAACTGATGTGATTATTTCCTCACTTCAGAATCGTCCATAGGTAAACCCCTCCACACCCACAACATACTCTTCTCCTAAGCTTTTAAGATTTCCAGTACTCATAGAGTCATAGAGGTTTACTGCATAGAAACAGGCCCTTTGACCCAACTTGCTCATGCCGCCCTGTTTTCACAACTAATCTAGTTTGCCCGTGTTTGGTCCATATCCCTCCTTTCTTTATCACATCCATTTACTTGTCTAAATGTTTCTTAAATTGTACTTGCCTCCACCACTACCTCTGCCAGTCCATTCCAGACACTCACCACCGTCTGTCTGAAAAAATTACCCCTGTGGACTTTTATGATCTCTACTATCTCACGTGAAACCAATGCACTCTAGTTTTAAATTCCCCGATCGTGGGGAAAAGCTGTTGGCTATCTACCTTATCTATGCCTCTCATGAATTTATAGACCTCTATAAGGTCACCCCCTCAGTCTACTACACTCAATGGAAACAAAGGCCTTATAACTCAAACCTTCCAGTCCAGGTAGCATCCCAGTAAATCCTTTCTGTCCACTTTCCAGTTTAATATTATCCTTTCTATAGTAGGGCAACTAGAACCCCAGGCAGTATGCTAAATGTGGCGTCATCAACGTCTTGTACAGCTGCAAAAAGACATCCGAACTCCTTTACTCAATGCACCGATCCATGAAAGCAAGCATGCCGAAAACCTTCTTCACCACCCTGTTTACCTGTGACTCCACTTTCAAGGGACCTATGAACCTGTACCCCTAGATCTCATCAAATTGCCCTGCTCAGCGTGGGGTAGGGGGGCTTGGTTATGGATCGGATCAGACAGCGAGATGACTTTAAACACTGAACACGCTGGAAACGTAAAACAAATCCGCAGCCAATGTTTGAGTCAGGAAGCAGGCTCCCACCCGAAACACTAAACTTTTGATTCCAGCGGCTAATGGACGTGCTGTGCTTCCGTTTCCTTTCGCTCTGCCCCCGTGCGCCTCTTTGATAGGGATTTCGCTCTGATCTCATTCGTGCTGTTGTCTTTTGCAGACCTGCTTGGACTCCGAGCTGCTGGCTACATTGAGAGCCTTCAGCGGGAAGCGCAGCGCGCACTGTATGAGATCGTGGTGTCGGCCAAGGGCAGTAGCCGCTTCGCCTGTATTTTACTCGCCGTGTCCGCCCTGAAAACTGTCAGCACCGGACTCATCATCGAGCTGTTCTTCAGGCCAGTGATTGGGCCAGCAACTATGAAGGAACTACTGTTTGAAATGTTATATTCCCAGTGAGGAAATGGGTCCATAGGGTCTGACTGCACCTCACCTCAGCCACTCACTCACTTAGCGCCCAGCCACATCACTTGCCATTCGCTGGTTATCCACACCAGGCTCCTCTTTCTCTATACTGTTTTGTATTAATTTAGTTTTATCCTGAATAAAATTGGTTTGCTTATTTTGGAAGACTGGACATTTTATTAGAGGCAGTTTTACTGTGTCAAGACTCTTGTTTCCAATTGAAAGAAATCCTCAAGTTTAAAAATAGGCATTTAATTCAGTTTAATGTCAGTAGCAACCATTGCTAATTGATTTCCATCTTGTACCATCTGGGGCCAACTGGTACATGTCTAATCATTTTGGAAATTCATCCATTTGTGTGTGGGTCATTTCATGCTTAGGAACAAGAATAGGCTATTCAGCCAAATTAATGCAAAATACTGCTGTTACTGGAAATCTTGAAATAAAAACAGGAAATTACCAGAAGAAATATGACCTAGAGTAGGCCATTCAATCCTTGAGCCTGCCGTGCCATTCAATAGAATCATGGCTGATCACACATTTCTCACATCCACTTTCCTGCCCTTTCTCCATGACCCTTGATTCCCCTTCTGATTGAGAATCTATCTCAGTTTTTAATTTACTTTCGGACTCAGCCCTCCACAGCAAGGAGTTCCAAAGACACACAATCCTCTGACAGAAGATATTCCTCCTCATCTCAATCTTAAATAGACGACCCTTTATTCTAAGACTATTCTGTCTGGTCCTAGATTCTCTCATGAGGGGAAACATCCTCTCAGAATTTACGCTGTCAAGCCCCTTAAGAATCCTATAAGTTTCAATGGGATCACCTCTCATTCTTCCAAACCCCAGTGAGTTGAGTCCCAATGTGTTTAATCTTTGCTCATAAGACAATCCCTCTATACTAGGGATCATCCTAGTGAGCTTCCTCTGAACTGCTGCCAATGAAATGATATATTTCCTTAAATAAGGGGACCAAAGCTGCTCACTGTACTCCAGATGTGGTCTCACCTGCACCTTGTTGCAGTAAGACTTCCCTACTCTAATACTCCAACCCCCTTGAAATAAAGGCCAACATTCCAACAATGAGGACCTTTCTGATTACTTGCTGCATCTGTGTGCTATCTTTCTGTCATTTATGTACAAGTATCCCTAAGTTGCTTTGTGCTCCAGCTTTCTGCAGATTTTTTCCATTTAAATAATATTTTGTTCTTTTGTTCCCTCAAGATGAACCACTTGGCATTTTTCCATATGAAAGTTCATTTGCCAACTTTTTGTCCACTTACTTAAACTATTCTGTATAAACTGTTTGTATCCCTTTCCACCTACATGCTAGAGAAACTCAGTGGTCTGGCAGCATTTGTGGAGAGAAATACAGTTAATGTTTCATGACTAATGTGACTCTTTAGTGGAATAAGGTTGTTCAGCCCAGTGATACTATTCAGGTGTCAGGAAATTAAAGGTGTCATTTCCTATCTATGAGTTAGGGCTTTACAATGCAGTGATAGTGCTATGTTTGAGTTCCACCTACTCCAGAGATGTGTCGTAACATCCCTGGGTGGATAGGTTGATTCATAAAAAAAAGCTCTTAACTGCACAAATTGAAATGGAGATTGCATAGTGCATGGAGTTGAATTTGCTGCTTTAATACCTGGGAATTGGAATAAGGCCAAAGTATTTATCATGGGCTGAAGTCTCCACCCCCTGCTAGTTGTAGACGTCCAACAAGAATTAAGTTAAATCTCCAACTCATTCCAGGTCTAAATTCTCTCAGAGATTCCTACTGACCCATCATTCTAAAACCTTTTGACTTTATAAAACCCGGTTACCCGAAAGCCAAAGTTCCCATTGTAAAAGAGTGGGTCACTTTCATTCTGAATGTTGGAAGCTGTGAGGGAAGGTGAAAGGACTTTTGGATTTTGTAAGATTGAGTCCAAAAAGGGAACTCAAACAGAAAATGACATAGATCAAATTGTAGCTTTAACTACAACTAAGAGTCTGGAGGTAAACACTGTTGTGAGTGCAGAAGAAATACATAAGGTAGATGAGATGTATAAAGGATTTTTGTCTACAATGAAGATGACCCCTTTTTCTTCAAATGATGCAGCCAGTGTTTAAGAGGCATTGAGATAGACACATGAACAGGCAGGGAATAGAGGATACAGACCATTTGCAGGTAGATAGGATTAGTTTGGAATGGATTCATGGTCAGCGTAGACACGGTGAGCTGAAGGGCCCGTTCCTGTGCTGGACTGTTCTATGTTAAGCATATTACCATCCTAAGGTATACAGGGGCTACTCAAACTCATTTGCTGGAGAAGAATTTTATATTTTCTCCAGAGTGTTCAATGAAAGACAAAGTGTTGGGAAATGGGATAAGTGGAGAGTATAGTTCTAGTGTACAAAGTTCAACCGGAGTGTGATTTGTTTTCTGGATGAATGGTAGTTGGGGTAGTTAAGAAATTATCCATGGACCGAGTTGGTTTACTCTGGGATTGATTTAATAGGAGTGAAAGTTACAGCTTCGCCTATAATCATCGAAAGTCTGAGTGAGACTAAAGAGATGGAAAATTGCAAATACAGGTTCCAGGAATTTTTCCCATTGTGTGTACTGGCCAGAGCAATGGCCAAACAAAGACCGTCATCTGAGGTCTCTATTACACAAGCAGAAGATTGTTTTTCTATTCATTCATGGGATGTGGGCGTCGCTGGCTGGCCAGCATTTCTTGTCCCCCTAGTTGCCCTTGAGAAGGTGGTGGTGAGCTGCCTTCTTGAACCACTGTAGTCCTCCTGCTGTGCGTTGACCCACAATGCTATTAGGGTGGGAATTCCAGGATTTTGACCCAGCGACAGTGAAGGAACAGCGATATATTTCCAAGTCAGGATGGCGAGTGACTTGGAGGGGAACTTGGAGGTGATGGTGTTTCCATATGTCTGATGCCCTTGTCCTTCTAGATGGAAGTAGTCGTGGGTCCGGAAGGTGCTGTCTGAGGATCTTTGGTGAATTTCTGCAGTGCATCTTGTAGGCAGTATACACTGCTGCTACTGAGCAGCAGTGGTGGAGGGAGGTTAGCTAAAACTCCATTAGGAATGAGGATAATTCAAAAGAAGTATTTGGCATACCTTCACTAATTGAGGCTCAGGAAGCAAATCTACAGTTATACAAATTAGCAAAGACAGCTGACACTTAAGCTGAGCTACAGAGTTCCACAGTGCTATTATTATTGAAGGTCAGAAATCACACGCCACCAGCTTATAGTCCAACAGGTTTATTTGAAAACACATGCTTTTGGAGTTTTGAATCAGAGATAGTAGGAACTGCAGATGCTGGAGAATCTGAGACAACAAGGTGCAGGGCTGGATGAACACAGCAGGCCAAGCAGCATCATAGGAGCAGAGAGGCTGACGTTTCGGGCCTAGACCCTTCATCAGAAAAGGGGGAGGGGAAGGGGGTTTTGAAATAAATAGGGAGAGAGTGGGAGGCGGATAGAAGAGGGATAGAGGAGAGGATAGGTGGAGAGGAAACAAACAGGTCGAAGAGGCGGGGATGGAGCCAGGAAAGGTGAGTGTAGGTAGGGAGTTAGGAAGGGGATAGGTCAGTCCAGGGAGGACGGACAGGTCAAGGGGGCGGGATGAGGTTGGTCGGTAGGAGATGGAGGTGCGGCTTGAGGTGGGAGGAGGGGATAGGTGGGAGGAAGAACAGGTTAGGGAGGCAGGGACGAGCTGGACTGGTTTTGGGATGCGGTAGGGGGAGGGGAGATTTTGAAACTTGTG